GGAAGAATAGAATTCAGAACTAGAATAGAATATATGGAAGAGAATAGAAATAGAATAGAATAGAATAAGGAAGAATAGAATTCAGAACTAGAATAGAATATATGGAATGGAATGGAATAGAATTCAGAACTAGAATAGAATAGAATAGAATAAGGAATGGAACGGAATTCAGAATTAAAATACAATACAATACAATAAGGAATGGAATGGAATTCAGAATTAGAATAGAATATATGGAATAGAATGGAATAGAATTTAGAACTAGAATAGAATGGAATAGAATAGGAATAGAATTCAGAACTAGAATAGAATATATGGAATAGAATAGAAATAGAATAGAATAGAATAAGGAAGAATAGAATTCAGAACTAGAATAGAATATATGGAATGGAATGGAATAGAATTCAGAACTAGAATAGAATAGAATAGAATAAGGAATGGAACGGAATTCAGAATTAAAATACAATATAATACAATACAATAAGGAATGGAATGGAATTCACAACTAGAATAGAATATATGGAATGGAATGGAATAGAATTCAGAACTAGAATAGAATAGAATATATGGAATAGAATAGAATTCAGGACTAGAATAGAATAAGAAAAATAGACTAGAACAGAATAGAATAATAACTTTATTCTCACTTAGAATGTATACTAATCGGCCTACATTAAAGTGAAATTGTCATTTGTGGCATGCAGCTCTCAAAGGGTCACCCCCTCCAATATATACTACCTCCTACAACAGAATAAATAAATACAGAATTATGCATATAATGCAGAATTATGCATAGCATTTGAGATTGCAAAGCCATGCAATTCCTCCTCCCATCGGGCTTCTACCCGCTTCACACAACCCCCTTCTTCTACCTCCGCCATCTCTCTTTTGCAATTTTTTTCCCCATCCCTCTTTTTATTTTATTTTTTTGCAAACATAGCCAAGCATTGAAACAAACCTTCGGGTAAATCGATGTTCCAGGACCTGGGAGAAAAAGGAGGGAAGGGAAAAAGAAAGTCGGAAGGAAGCTGGGGGAGAAAGAGAGAGAGAAAAAATCGGATTTATTTTTGCACAGAGAAAAAAACTCCAGCCTGGCAATTCAAGGGTTAACCCGACCCGGGGAAAGGGAGGGGTCGGAAAAGCTGGAGCGAGGAGGAAAGACTCCGCCCACTTCTCCTAAGCAACGGGCCTGGCCCCGCCCACACTTCCAACCCTCGCTTTTTGTTCCCTGAATGTGCCCCGAGCGAGGAAAGAACGGGATATGCAAATGAACAGCGACGCCATTGGCTGGGCGGCCTCCCCCCCCCGCCTCCTTTCCAACGGCGGGGGAGCGAACGGTGGGGAAACAGGGCGCCAGTCGCGGTTCCATGGTGTAATGGTGAGCACTCTGGACTCTGAATCCAGCGATCCGAGTTCGAGTCTCGGTGGGACCTTATTATTATTATTATTATTATTATTATTATTATTATTATTATTATTATTATTATTATTATTATTATTATTATTATNTGATTGAATTGTGAGCCGCCCTGAGTCCCCTTCGGGGAAAAGGGCGGCATATAAATGTAATCAATCAATCAATCAATAATTTCTTCTTGGAGAGCACAGATTAGAGATTCTAGGTAGGTAATCTGTCTATGTAGACTAGTAATTTGTTTACAAAGAGGACAGTATCCAAATTTGAAAAGAGTACTGGGAAAGACAGGTGCAAAATAGATATTACATTGAACTAAGCTGGTCATTTTGAAATAAAACAAAATCACAATCTCAAGCACACTAATCCAGAATGTATTATTGCTATTTTGGTTTATGGATATATGATTCTACCTAGTCCTCTTGGTCTCTCTGACTCCGCTCTTGTAGCCTATAAAAAAAACTATATTTTTCTCTGATTCTTGATTTTCTTCTACCAACACACAGACACAGACACAGATACACACACACAATTTCTGTAGCCAAGATGCATAAAATGACTGACTCAACAAGCAGAATATGGCCGTTTTTCAATTCTGATTTTACTGGTTTTGGGGGGAACAATTTCAACTGCTGATGCATTGGGCCATAACATTTACAATTCCCAGTGATGATCAGGATATCACATGCTGTTAAAAAGCTGCACCAGGCTCTGATACTAGGGTGAGCTTACTAGATCACTGGTGGGCAGAGAGTTGATTCTTAAATCCTTGAATTGGTGATAAAACTGACTCACAAACGTATTTATTTTTCTCGCCTATCCCAAAGATATGCTTTTGAGGTAAATTCTTAACTACATAACACATCGATGAAACAACTTAAAAAATATGGGAATAATAGCAACGCACTTAGAAGGAAAAACATGGTTAAAACATTAAGCTCTAAAGCATGCTGCCAGAGGGAAATAATATAACAACTTTTTCAGAAGATGCCACTGAGAGAAGAAAAACATGAAATTGTACAGGTAGGAATGAGGATAAAGAACCACATATTTTGAGGGAACGCAAGGAAATAAAACTAAGGAGGTGAACTAAGTGGGATGCTAATCCATCTGCCGGTCAATGCCGACTGGCAACTACGCGGAGGAGAGCCTTCTCGGTGGNTCAGGTGCCTCCTGGTGGCCAACCAGCTTCTCTGCGCCCTGCTTGGAGTTGGAACCCTGTCCAGGGTCCTCCACATCTTCCAGAGCCGACTCATCGGGCCCCTCGCTATCGGAGTCTGGTGGCAGCTCCAACGGCTTCTGCTGGGCCACAACAGAAAGGTAACCAAACACCGGGTTCCTATTTCCATATGCGAAAAATGGCCCATTCCTTACAAAAATGGGATGCAAGAGCAGGGCTTCGGGAGGCCAAAATTAGCTGTATTCAACATATAAGACACACCAATATTTCCACACTCTTTTAAGGGAGGGGAGGTGTGTTTTATACTCCGAAAAATACAGTATGTATTATTGTAATTATCTTAATATATACCGTATTTTTCGGAATATAAGGCACACCAAAACGGGCCCGTTTTTTGTCAAAAAAATTGCATGCATAGCCTTTAGGAGTCTTATTCCTGGGGGCTGTGGGGGGAAAATTGAGCAAAAATCAGCCCGTTTTTCACTCATTTCTGCCTTCCACAGCCCCCAGAAGCTCTCTAAAGCTTTCTACAGGTTCTGCACGGCCATTTTGATGAAAGGGCGGAGTTTCAGGAGGCAAAAAATGCTGTATTCAGTGTATAGGACGCACCCAGATTTTCAGCCTCTTTTTTTGAGGGAAAAGGGTGCGTCTTATACTCCGAAAAATACGGTAGTTGTATTATAAATGTTATTGTAACGAATATAACAACAAATATGTGGACTATGAACTAGTGAATGATTGTACCCAGTTCACACACTGTTTGATGGAGATGAAAAGTATTATAAATAAAAATAAATAAAACATTTTTAAAAAAAGACTCAGGAGATGGGTGGACATCCGGGAAGTGTGGGCCATCTGCTGCCCTTGCCTTGTTCCCCAGGAACTGCTTGGGGAGAGTCCAGAAGGAGTCGTGCACCAGGAAGCGTCGCGAGAGATCGACCAGCTGGAACTCCTGCGCGCTGGGGTCGATGTGCATCTGCGTCGAGGCGAGGGGAGGCGTGCCGGGCTGATCAAGCGTGGTCACGTTCACCCCTGGGAATAAAGAGGAATGCAACAAGCCGGGTGGGTCGGTGGGAGGTGGGATAGGGAGGGTCACCCAGTCCTATCCTTGGGCGGAGGAGACTGCCCCACTGCCTCACCTTTGAAATTGTTGTGTTCGTCAAATCGGAGGTGGATTTGTTGACGGTAGCGGCCAGTGCTGCGGCACGATTTGGCGACCCCAAAGCAGAAACAGGGCAAGCACTGACCGGTCTCTTCAATGTGGAAGTGCCTTTCGGGGCATGGTCCTAGATGGTGAAGGGGTGGGAAGATCAGAAACTCAGAAGCTGGGGAGGCCTCTTCAGTAGTGAGCTGCTGCTGGTTCGGACCGGCTTGGACAAACCAGTTGTGGCAATCTCCGCCCACCAGTACAGGCGCAATCCCATCCTATATCGCTGTGTTCTTGGACGCTGCACACATGTGCTGAAGGAGCACATGAGTGAATTGCCGTGTGTTTTGATGCCGCACGCTTGTGCGGAATGCACAGACATGAGCGTGCTCACATTTCTGGAGCTGGGCTCCTCCTCCTGTAGCTCACCTTGGCCAGGCGTGACGCTCAACACACCGTCTGGGATGCCGAAAACCATTCCCCGGGCATTGATGGCCTCGCAGGTGTAAGCCCCTTGGTCAGCCTCCTTGACATCTTGGATGACTAGCGTTCCCCGGCCGTTCTCACTGGCGAAGCTCACCCTGTAGGCGCAGGAAGAACTGAGCACCCTTAAGTTTTGAGGGGGGAGGGATGGGGAGCAGTTGGGATTCGACCAGGGCTGGCCTACCTGCGGCTGGTGGGGATATGGCCCCAGTTGAGCCTCCAGGAGATGAGGGGGGTTGGGACGCCCACGGCCACACAGGTGAAGCGAATGGTGTCCCCTGGGGCGGCCTGGATGAACTCCTCAGGGGGAGTGATGACCTGTGGAGGGACTGGGGGTGGGGAAGGCACAGGGAGAAGTGCCAAGGGTGGTGAGTCGGGCAGAATGGAATGTGAATTATCTTAAAAGGCACCAGGGGAGGGAAATACAGAGGGGTGGCCTAGTCATACTTTAAAGATTAGGTAAAGCTTCCACTTGCAGAGGCAGCTCATTTGGAAGAGAAGGCCAATCTTTTGGGGCTTCCCGGGAGGAGAACCCCAAGAAGCCAATCCCCCTTGCACTCCCCTTTGGTCACACCCCTCCATCCCCGCCTGGCCTTTGCCCGTATCCTCGGACACTCACTGCAGCCGATCTCGTCCGAGCGGTCCTGGCAGTCGGCCTCGTCGTCACACTGGTAGCTGGCCGGGATGCAGGTGTGGCTGGAGAGGCAGACAAACTGGTCGGGGCCACAAGTGTCTCCGGGGGCCTTGGTGGCTGCAGGGAAGGAGGAAGGAGAGGGAGGATCAACCCACTCTGGCTCAGGAGTCTTTACCAGCTGCTCCTCTTGAATGGCTTCAGGGGTCCCGCGAGGAGGACCAATTCTTTCCCAAACCCAAGGTTTTGAATTCCTAGTTTTGAGCATTCGTCTCGCTTTGGCCCCCCGTGAACCCAAGATTTGCAGAAGAGGTCTCCCCACCACCACCCACAACCCGCCCACCAAGCTCTTGATCCTCACGGCAGTCCAGCTCGTCAGAGCCGTCGGCGCAGTCATTGTCCCCGTCGCAGCGCCAGAGCGTGAGGGCGCAGTGCCCGTTCCGGCATCGGAACTCATTGGGTTCGCAGGGCGAGGGAGTGCCTTGGAGGGGGGCGACAAAAGGAGAGTTACCGTTGCGGTTCTCTCTCTCTCTCTCTCTTTCCCACACCTGCACGCGCAGCACACCCGCATCCCCCGGGACTCACCGCAGTTCTGTTCGTCGCTGCCATCCGGGCAGTCCCGCTCGCCGTCGCAAAGATAGTCCCGGCGGATGCATTGCCCGTTGAGGCACAAGATCTCGTCTTTCTGGCAAGGGCGCAATCCGGGGAACTGTTGGGGCTTGGAGACCTCCACCTGAAGAGGCGCGGTGACTGGTGCCCGGCGGGTGGTGATGGTGGAGGTGGTGGTAGGGAGCCGGGCAGTGCTTGGCGGGGAGGAGGTGGGCTCCAAAGGTCTCTCGAGGTCTGCTGGAGCAGAGAAGAAGAGCGATGGTTAATACATGAATAATTAAATATTCATTCTCTTTATTATAAATTCCAGGTACCGTATTTTCCGGCATATAAGATGACTTTGTAGCCTATAAAAATCATTCCAAAAATTGAGGGTCGTCTTATACGCCAGGTATACGGCAAGCTGAAACTTACCAGTTCCAAGCCGGTCTGAATGCCATTAAATACCCCTGCCGCTTCCATACTGAGCTGCATTTTCCATGCCGGCAGCACTGAGCCGGCAGATTCCACATAGCGTATACCGCTACGAGCCGGCCTGTTCAGACTCTCTTGGAGTCAGGAAGGCAGGCTGATGATGTCACACCCTCTGCCAATCCAATCAGGCCTTGTATTCATTAATAGAAAATACATCGCTCGCCGTGATTGGCTGGGCGCTGTATACTGGAATGTTTTTTAAATTTTTATTTGGTGTGCCTCGGAAGAGGGGTGGTCTTATACGGCAAGTATATCCCAAACCCTACATTTTAACAGGAAAAGTAGGGGGTCGTCTTATACACCCAGTTGCCTTATACGCCGGATAATACGGTATTAACCGCAGCTAGAATTGTATTTGCACAACATTGGAAAAGTGTAGAAATCCCTATGGATGAGGTGGTGATAAGAAAAACATTAGAATCTGCAGAAATGAACAGATTAACATTAGCAATGAAGGAGAAAGAGCAAAAACTGAATATTATATGATTTGGGCAGTTTTTACCAATGGTTGGAGAAAAATAAAGGTGTTTGGAAATGAAGAAGGCTAAAAAATAAGTAGAAAATATATTAAGATATAAAGAAGATGAGAACTTAGTTTGTGTATGATGAGACAAATGATGTTTAATGTTAATATGATATAATTACTAGAAGATATTAAGAAGAAAAATTGAGAGTTTTTTAAATGTTTAATATATTATAATACTAAGCTTAGGGAAATAATGTTAATATGAATGTGAAAAATGTGGCACAGAGATATTAGTACTCAGTCAACACACTGCATAAGGAAAGCTGGAATCTTTATCTTAATTTTTAATTATAAAATTCTTTATAAAAAGAAAAAAAAACACATTTGTGATGTGAATTTGGGTGCCAGTTTTACAGCTTTTCCCCCCACGATGGTTAAGTTGCTTCCCCGTTGACTTTGCCTGTATGTGTATGATGAGAATAATGATGCTTAATGTTGATTTGATATTATTACTAGAAGTTATTAAGAAGAATTGAAGACCCGAGAACCTTCTACTAAGCATTAAACCAGAAAACATGAGCAATTCAATATGGCATTTGAGCCTACTTATTTTTTAGCCTTCTTCATTTCCAAACACCTTTATTTTTCTCCAACCATTGGTAA